TCATCATCATCATCATCATCCATCATCATCATCATCATCATCATCATCATCATCATCATCATCATCTCTCCACCATCACTCCTATTCCTCCCGCTCCCGCTTCCTCCTCCTCCTCCTCCACCCCTCCTCCCCGCTCCGCCCCCTCCCCATCCTGTCCTCCTCCTCCTCCTCCTTCTCCTACTCCTCCTCCTCCGCCTCCTCCTCCCTCCTCCCCCCTCCTCCTCCTCCTCCTCCATCCTCCTCCTCCTCCTCCTCCCTCCTCCTCCTCCTCCCCCTCCTCCTCCTCCTCCTCCCTCCTCCTCCCCCGCCTCCGTCCGCCTCTTCCTCCTCCTCTCTCTCCTCCTCCTCCTCTCACTCCCTCTTCCTCCTCCTCCTCCTCCTCCCTCTCCTCCTCCTTCCTCCTCCCTCCCTCCTTCCTCCTCCTCACTCCTATCCCTCCTCCTCCTCCTCCTCCTCGCCTCCCTCCTCCTCCTCCTCCTCCTCCTCCCCCTCCGCCTCCTCCTCCTCCTCCTCCTCTTCCTCCTCCTCCTCCTCCTCCTCCTCCTCCTCCTCCTCCTCCTCCGTTGGTGACCCTTCACCAAGCTACCCCAACCTAACCCGAAGACCCCGATTTGCCCTCCATTTCCAGTGTGGGGGGGGTGGCGGGAACATCTGAAATCCGAAGTCTCCACCCGAAATTCGGGTGTTCGGGTTGGGTTGGGGTGCTCTGGTAGGCAGGCAGGCAGTCGCTTCATGAGCACATCGGTCGCGATCGCGCTGCCGCGGTGCCGGGCTCCGAGGGAGACCCTTTCGCGCGCGGCGCCCACCCGCGCACAGCCGCGGCCCTCTCGCCGGGCGCCGATCGGAGGGCACCAACCGTACACCTGCACCGACCCTGGCCAGGAGGCCGATCCTGGGCCCAGGATGGGTGTACATGCACTCTGCCCAAGGCAGGGGGGCGTACATACCGATCCTGGGCCCAGGCGAACTCGCGACCGGGCGGCGGCGGGGCTCCTCGGAGGCCGCGCCCTGCGTTCTCTGCCCTGTGGGGTGTGGGGATTGGGAGGGGGAGGAGGAAGGAGGAGGGGGAGGAGAGAAGGAGGGGGAGGAGGAGGAGGAGGAGGAGGAGCAGGAGGGAGGAGAGGAGGAGGAGGAGGGGACGAGGAGGAAGAGGGGGCGGAGGAGGGAGGGGGGGAGAAGGAGGAGGGGCAGGAGGAGAGGAGGAGGAGGAGGAAGAGCAGGAGGAGGAGGAGAGGAGGAGGAGGAAGAGCAGGAGGGAGGAGGAGGAGGAGGAGGGGGAGGAGGAGGAAGAGGAGGAGGAGGAGGATGAGGAGGATGAGGGGGAGGAGGAGGAGGAGGGGAGGAGTGATCCTGGCCAGGGTCGGTGCTGGTGTGTGGCTGGTGCCCTCCTAGCCGATGGCGTCCGCGGTGGCCACGCGCGGCCTGGTGCGCGCCCTGGCCTCGCCGAGGCGCGCGGCGGCGGCGCAGCCGCTGCTGCAGAGGCCGGCTGGGCGGCCCCGACCCCGCAGGAGGGCCAGAGCAGGCCCTGGAAACGACAGGGCCGTTTTTTTACCGGTTCCGTCTTGCCGATTTTTTGCCGGTTCCAACGCCGTTTTTTTACCGGTTCCGTCGCCGTTTTTTGACCGGTTCCGGCTCTGGTTCCAATCCTGGAGCCGTTTTTCCCAACCATCCTGTGGTGTTGGGTCCTCGTTTTGAAGAGACGGTCCCCGCGTCCTCCTCTCCTCTCCTCTCCTCTCCTCTCCTCCTCTCCTCTCCTCCTCTCCTCCTCTCCTCTTCACCCACCCAGTACACCGCTTCGTGGCCCCATAGGGAGCCCCACCGAAGGCCCCAGTGCTGCCGCCCGCATGCGCCCCGCACGCTCACTTCGGCACGCCCCTCACACGCTTCGTGGCCCCATAGGGAGCCGCGCCGGAGGCCCCAGTGCTGCCGCCCGCATGCGTCACCCACACCCAATTCGGCACACCCCTCACACGCTTCGTGGCCCCAGGGAACCCCACCGAAGGCCCCAGCCCTGCCGCCCGCATGCGTCCCGCACTCCCAATTCGGCACACCCCTCACACGTTTCGTGGCCCCATAGGGAGCCCCACAGAAGGCCCCAGTGCTGCCGCCCGCATGCGTCACTCACACCCAATTCGGCACACCCCTCACACGCTTCGTGGCCCCATAGGGAGCCCCACCGAAGGCCCCAGTGGCGGCGCTCACATGCGCATGCGTCCCGCACACCCATTTCGGCACATCCCTGACAGGTTTCGTGGCCCCATCATCCACCTGAGGCCCCAGTGGCGGCTCTCACATGCGTCACCCACACCCACCCAAGTCGGCACACCCCTCACACGCTTCGTGGCCCCATAGGGTGCTCCACCGAAGGCCCCAGCGGCCGCGCTCACATGCGTCCCCGCCACCCATCCCGGCACGCCCCTCACAACAACAGGTTTCGTGGCCCCATAGGGAGCTCCACCGAAGGCCCCAGTGGCCTCGCCCGCATGCGTCACCACCCGCACCCAATTCGGCACACCCCTCACACGTTTCGTGGCCCCATAGAGAGCTGCACCGAAGGCCCCAGTGGCGGCGCTCACATGCGTCCCCGCCACACATCCCAGTACACCCCTCACGCGCTTCGTGGCCCCATAGGGAGCTCCACCGAAGGCCCCAGTAGCGGCGCTTACATGCGTCTCCGCCACCCATCCCGGCCCCCCCCCCCCGCAGCAGCATTATGTTTCGGGGACCCATAGGGAGCTCCACTGGAGGCCCCAGTGGCGGCCCGCACATGCGTTTCCGCCACCCATGTCGGCACGCCCCGCGCGTGTTTCTTGTCCCCATAGGGAACTTCGCCGAATGCCCCAGTGGCAACCATCTCGGCACACCCCTCACACGTGGCGTAGTCCTATGGGGAGGGGAGTTCCATTGAAGATGAAACCCGCAGCTGCTGTACTGACAACTGCATATGGTTGGGTTTTTCGCCAGGCTAATTTTGCCGTTTTCGGTCGCCGTTTTTTTGCAGTTCTCATTTTCAAGGGACATGTTTTGGAAACGGTGAAAAAACGGCCTTGCCGTTTCCGGGGCCCACAAAGCATGAGTCCACGCGTGTCGGCTTTCGTGGCGTTTCCAGTTTTCTTGGCAGCCTTCTGAGTCGCGCTGTGGCTAGGGTCCAGCTGAACGACGTAGAAACATCGGGATCGTCGTCACCAGCATTGCCGCGTTAAGTTGCCCGCGTAAGGTCGCGCGTAAGCGGCTTTTTTCCAATGCAGTGTGCCTCGCTGGCGGTCCGCGTAAGCCACCGCGTATGGTCGTTATGCCGTCTCGTGTGGATCAAGTTCTTTTCGCCGCTCAGTTGGGTGGAGTTGGGCAAAACATTAGCTCGGGTTGGCCAACAAAGCAATCTCGTCGAGGTCTGAAACAGTCCTGCTAGGCCAGCAAGTCTGCAGGGCTGGTTTTCCAGCACCCTGGGACGGTCAGTGTCGCTCGGGGCAGGCCCAAAGGGACGGAGGTTGTGGAACATGTATTATTATTTCCTGAGCCTCCCCGGGAACCCTCGGAGAGCCTTGCGGGCTTTTCGTTGGGGCCGTTTGGCTTTAGAATGATAGAGTCCTTGTTCCTTCAGTGGGGAAGCAGGTCGTTCTAATCATCAATCATCAGCGTGTTGGCTGTTTTGATGGGGGATCGGGACCACGCGGGTTGTCCTATATGAGTTGGCCCAGGATGAAATCCAGCAGGGCCCCCCTTTTGGGGCATTCCAGGCGGTCTCGCCACCCTCCGCCGTGGCCTGAGCTACCGAGACCACGCTGGACTTATGATGTTCCAACCTACTGTAGCCTTCACCACCAGAAAGAGTTTTGAGCACCGACAAAGTACCGAAACTCATGGGTCTTCAAGTGGCGGGACCTGGGAGACACTCGCCCGACACTGTTTCGACAATCTTTCGACACTTTTCCGGGTGCTCGAAATTGTTTTGGGGATGTGGTCCATAAATGCGGTGGGAGCAACACAGTTACGGGTGCGTGTTGTCGAATGGGGGTCCCCGCTCGAGTGGGAGCGTTCCCCAGGGTCCGACAGCCCGCACCCAGACCCATAGCCGGTCCTCCCAACGACCCCCCTGTGGGTATGGGTATGTGCCGCTCGTTCGTCAGTGTTTGGGGTGCCTTAGGCTTCCCCAGGCGTGGGCTGCTTGTGGCCGCAACCGCACCGCACCCTCAGGGCACGTTGAGGCCAGCCTGGACCTACAGGCGAGTTTGATAAGTAGGTCGGACCAGGCGTTTCGCCTGTGACTTCCTCACAACTTATGACCCTGGAGCTTAAACAAATTATCCCAGTGCAACCCTACCTAGGAGTTGGAGCCTCTAGGAAAGCAACACTAGCAGCAGCAATAGTGGATGCTGTGCTGCGCTATGCTATGCTATGTTATGCTATGCTATGTTATGTTATGATATGTTGCGCAATGCTATGCTGGGCTAGGCTAGGCTAGGGTATGCTATGCTATGCCATGCTGCGCTGTGCTATGCTAAGCCATGCTATGCTATGCGATGCTATGCTATGCTATGTTATGTTGCGCTATGATATGCTATGCTATGCTGAGCTATGCTATGATATGCTATGCTTGGCTATGCTATGCTATGCTTTGCTGTGCTAATGTTGCGCTGCGATATGCTGCCCTGCGCTAAGCTAAGCTAAGGTAAGCTGAGCTATGCTAAGGTAAGTTCAGATGAGATAAGCTACGCTAAGCTAAGCTAAGCTAAGCTAAGATAAGCTGGGTGAACCCAGGGGGCGCAACTGGGGGAACCGTGGGGCGGATCCTGGGGGAACCGCGACCCATGCCTTCTAGTTCGGGTTGTGTATCCTTGTGCGCGTTCTTTACAATCAAACTTGACAAAATTCTCCAGGGCCGTTTGAGCGCAACCAGAAGCCTCGCCAGCGCTGTGGCCGTGAGGGGCACAGCCTGCGGCGGTTTTCGGCGATGCCCCAAGGCGTCGCTCCAGACACCCGCAAGCCGTGGGATCGCGACGATGACCGCGCCTTGCGGCCTGCGCTGGAGCGGTGTCTCTCTCCGAGACCGCAGGTGCTGGGCGCTGGTGGCGCGACGCTGGGGTGGCCCGAGCTGCTGGTCCTGGAAGCTCCCAGGCGTCGGGTCCCAGGGCCTAAGCCAGAGCACTCTCCGGGGACGCAGGCGGCGAAGGCGCTCGGACGCGCGCGCCGAACCCGCCAGGCCTTCCTCCCTGTGGTTCCCCTCCCCGGACAGGGGGAGGCGCGCGCCGCGCACCCGCGGTGCGTGGGCGATGCGGCGCGAGGCGAGAGCCCGATGTCTCCGTGACGACGACACCGATGCATCGTCGAATCGCAAGAGGGCTAATACAGTTGGGGACGACAATCAGTGGAGAGGGAGCACGTTGCCGAATAACTCCCAGATGTCCAAATCATGCCGTGAACCTGTGCAGTCGAGACTTAATGTAGGTCGACCTTGCCAAAGCAAGGGTACCCTTGTGTCCTGAGCTTCGCGACCCATGCCTCCTTTACATTCCTATGGCAATGTGGCCCTCGGAAGGGTCTTGTGTCCTCTCGCGTGCCCTTTCCAATCAGCCCCGACTGCAAATAACATGTTTCAAGCATTCCTAGAACATCCTCCCGACAGTTTGAACACACCTTGAGTTCAATGATCGGAGTGTTAGGGTGTTCAATGTCATGGCATCCGCAACATTTCAAGCGACGGCGGTTTTCCCGCCCCGTCCAGGGTTAAGTCGTGCCTGCTTTTCTACAGGAGGAATATTCAAAAATTGTCAAACAGTACGGGGGCGATCTTTTTTTAGCACTGTTTGACTAGTTTGGTGTATGTTTTGGCTGTTTCGTATTTTTTCGCCCAGAATCCCCCTGTAAGGGGACACGCCCGACCGAAGTCCAGGGCCGTGCAAAAGGATCGGCGGTCGGACCCCCCCCTATCGGCGACGAGACCCGGGGTGGCCCGAGGCGGCTCCTGCCGCGGCCACGGGCAGCCTCGCGGCGGCCCGAAGCGGACGAGAGACGCCGCGGAGGGCCGCCGTGGTCTCAGGTCGGGCGTGTCAGAGAGTATCCAAGAATAGTACGACGGATAAAAAACAATATAGGATAGTTTAATCCATGATCAAGACAAGTGGCACGTGTGCCATAGCCCCTGCACAAAAGAGGAAGGGGGAGGAGGAGGAGGAGGAGGAGGAGGAGGAGGAGGAGGAGGAGGAGGAGGAGGAGGAGGAGGAGGAGGAGGAGGAGGAGGAGGAGGAGGGGGGAAGAGGGGGCAAGGCATCGCCCTCTGGGCCCAGCAACGGGGCCCAAGTCCCAGGTGGGGAGGGTGGGGGAGGCGGCGTGCGTCGCGACGCGGAATAAAGTGCTCGGAGCGGAGGGAGCACGGGGCGGAGGTCCCACTGGGGCGCTGGGGGCGCGGAGAGGAGGGGGTGGTGTGTGCCGCGACGCGGAATAAACTGTCGGGGCGGAGGGGGCACTGGGCGGGGCTTGGGGCAGAGGGCCACGGGGCGGGGGTCCAACTGGGGCGCTGGGGAAAGGGGGGGAAGGGGGGGAGGTGGCGTGCGTCGCGACGCGGAATAAAATTGTCGGGGCGGAGGGGGCACGGGGCGGAGTCCCCACTGGGGCGCTGGGGACGCGGGGAGGGAGGTGGGGGAGGTGGTGTGCGGCGCGACGCGGGATGAAGCGTTAGTGGCGGAAGGGGCAATGGGGTGGGCCACCGCTGGGGCGCTGGGGACGCGGGAGGGCTCGGGGCAGAGAACCACGGCGCGGGGGTCCCACTCTGGCGCTGGGGACGCGGAGGGGGGGGGTGCGACGTGTAATACAGCGTTCGTGTCGGAGGGGGCAGTGGGCGGGGGCCCCGCTGGGGCGCTGGGGACGCAGTGGGGCTTGGGGCAGAGAGCCACGGCGCAGGGGTCCCACACTGGCGCTGGAGACGCGGGGGAGGGGGGGGAGCTGCGACGCGGGAGAAACCGTTCGTGGCGGAGGGGGCAGTGGGCGGGGCCCCCGCTGGGGCGCTGGGGACGCGGTGGGCTCGGGGCAGAAAGCCACGGCGCGTGGGCCTCACACTGGCGCTGGGGACGCGGGGGGGCGGGGGGGGCGACGCGGGATAAAGCGTTCGTGGCGGAGGGGGCAGTGGGCGGGGCCCCCGCTGGGGCGCTGGGGACGCGGGGGGGCTTGGGGCAGAGAGCCACGGCGCGGGGGCCCCACTCTGGCGCTGAGGACGCGGGGGGGGGGGGAGCGACGCGAAATAAAATGGTCGGAGCTCTAGACACCCTGTGCAAGAGAATAAAGTGGTCGGGGCGGAGGGGGCGGTGCGCTGGGTTGGGCTGCTGGGGAGAGGGGGGGGGGGAGCGACGACGACGCCGAAATAAAGTGGTCGGGGCGAAGGGGCGGCGCGCTGGGCTGCTCGGGAAGAGGGGATGGGGGGGGGGGGGGGCGACGACGACGCCGAAATAAAGTGGCCGTCGGGGCGGAGAGAGGGCGGCGCGCTGGGCTGCTGGGGAAAAGGACAGGGGGGGGCGACGACGACGCCGAAATAAAGTGGTCGGGGCGGAGGGGGCAGCGCGCTGGGCTGCTGAGGAGAGGGAGAGGGGGGTGGGGGGGGGGCGACGACGACGCCGAAATAAAGTCGTCGGGGCGGAGGGGGCGGTGCGCTGGGGTGCTGGGGAGCGACACATAGCGACACATGTCGACACAACGCCGAAATAGGGCGACGACGACGCCGAAATAAAGTGGTCGGGGCGGAGAGGGCGGTGCGCTGGGCTGCTGGGGAAAGCGACACATGTCGACACAACGCCGAAATAGGGCGACGACGACGCCGAAATAAAGTGGTCGGGGCGGAGAGGGCGGTGCGCTGGGCTGCTGGGGAAAAGGACCGGGGGGGGCGACGACGACGCCGAAATAAAGTGGTCGGGGCGGAGGGGGCAGCGCGCTGGGCTGCTGAGGAGAGGGAGAGGGGGGGGGGGGGCGACGACGACGCCGAAATAAAGTCGTCGGGGCGGAGGGGGCGGTGCGCTGGGGTGCTGGGGAGCGACACATAGCGACACATGTCGACACAACGCCGAAATAAAGTGGTCGGGGCGGAGGGGGCAGCGCGCTGGGCTGCTGAGGAGAGGGAGAGGGGGGGGGGGGGCGACGACGACGCCGAAATAAAGTCGTCGGGGCGGAGGAGGCGGTGCGCTGGGGTGCTGGGGAGCGACACATAGCGACACATGTCGACCCAACGCCGAAATAAAGTAGTCGGGGCGGAGGGGGCAGCGCGCTGGGTTGCTGAGGAGAGGGAGGGGGGGGGGCGACGACGACGCCGAAATAAAGTCGTCGGGGCGGAAGGGGCGGTGCGCTGGGGTGCTGGGGAGCGACACATAGCGACACATGTCGACACATATCGACATGTATAGAGACATATATCGACACACATATCGACGCATAGCGACACACAGCAACACATAGCGACGCACACATGGAGACGCATAGCGACACACAGCGACACATATAGCGGCACATGAAGGGCACAAGGCACACAGCGACACATATAGCGACACATGACGGGGACAAGGCAGCTGGGGGGGGGAGCGACGACGACGCCGAAATAAAGTGGTCGGAGCTCTAGACACCCTGTGCAAGAGAATAATCCAAACATAGTAAACAGTAATCCGAACATCGTACTATACAAAAGAAGGCGTTTCCCCAACAAATTGCACATGTTGGTATAGTTTCTGCCTATTTCTCATTTTTCGTCGAAAATCCGCCTGCGGGGGGACATGCCCGACCTGACCGTGGTCTCGCCTTGGCCCTGCTCCGACGAGTGCACTCGCGACCCGGCCCGGTGCAGAAGGCACCTGTTCGGGCGTGGCGCAGCGGGGGGGGGGGCAAGATTTTGGGGGGGGGAGAAAGGTGCACCTCTTGTGCTCTACGGGGGCCCCCCCTGGGGCCCGCAAGGGGCACGAACGGGGCAGGCCTCGTCGCCCCCCCCACCACCCCCGAAAGTAAGTCACGCCCCAACTCGTCGCCCCGCCCGCCCGCCCCCGTCCAGCCCCCCCCCCCGAGGCGAGACCGCCAGAGCCTGCTGCTGGCGGGCGGCGCCGCCCGCAGACACTTCTGGTTTGGCTTCGGCGGCGGGGACGGCGGGGACGGCGGGGGCGGCAAGCCGAGCGGGACCGGCGGCGCGGCCGGGAGCAAGGTTCGGGTCCCACGCAACGGGGGTCAGCGCGAAGGGGGGGGGGGGGGGGAGCCAATCCTGTGTGTCAAGTGTCAAGGAGGGGAAACCACCCCGACCCCCATGAGTGGCGTTTGCCCGACGGTCCCCGGGCGTTTGCTGAAGAGCCCTGCCCTGTTGAGTTCCTGCCTTGGGTGCGTTTGCAAAACAGCGCCTCTCCCAGGGTGCCTACTTGCCCATCTGTCGTTGAAGGTCGGTATTTCTGGAGTCCCAGATTCCAATCTACTTTGGGCGCCTGCCTACTTCCATGATCGAGAGGCTTCACACCGTCCTCCTCAGGGGGCGGGGGTGGACACCCAATCTACTCTCACCGCCTTCTACTCTTCATGTTTCTACTACCTACTTCTTCCGACCGATGGGTAGTTATCATGAGGACGTTTACTCTGCTCTTGATGGGCCTGTTTTCCACCAAAACCACCACCATAAGTTGGTGCGGGGAAGGAGTGGAGGATGAGGAGGACCAAGAGGAGGAGGAGGAGGAGGAGGAGGAGGAGGAGGAGGAGGAGGAGAGGAGGAGGAGGAGGAGGAGGAGGAGGACAAAGAGGAGGAGGAGGAGGAGGAGGAGGAGGTGGAGGAGGAGGAGGTGGAGGAGGAGGAGGAGGACCCCCTCCTCCTCCTGCCTGTGGTGGTGGCGGTGGAGAACGTGCCCACCGGCTCTGCCCTCGGGCTGAGACCCGGCTTCGGGAGAGCCACGGGGGGCCGAGTCCCCCTGCCCTCGCCCCCCCCGCGGCCCTTGGTTGGTTCGGGAGCCGCTGCGCGGCCGGCCCGGGCCTCGCGGCAGCCTAAGTCGGGCCTGTCCCTCGGCAGGAGGAATGTCCAAGAGCAATCACAACAAAATCGTCAGGGGACGATTTCTTGACGATTTGGGGGTTTCTGTTTTGGGTTGCTTGGGGTCTGTGTTATTCTTCGTCCCAAATCCGCCTGTAGGGGGACACGCCCGACCCAAACATGGGGCCCTGACCGGCCCGGGTGTGCGCGGACCCGGGTTAGAGTGCGCGCCCGACAGGTCAGGTCCGAGGGGGATTTGCTGAAGGGGTCCCCACCCCAAGGTTTCGCTCCTTCGTCTTCGCTAGCAAAGCACGGGAGCCTGGTACACCCTCGCACTCTCGTCTGCAGAGCGCACTGGCGCGAATTTTTGTCTGGTAGTCGAGGAGGTGGCGCTGATTTAGCGTCGATTCGCGTAGATTCAGCGCCGATTCACATCGATTCGCAAGAACCATAAAGACAGTATGGGAGGCTCCCATGGGTTGCCGCCGAAATTTCCGAGCCCTTGGGCCTGCCTGGGCCTTGCGAGGTGTGCTCTGAGGGCCGTTGGGGCCTCCTTGGCAATCCTGTGGGCACTTTCGACCAGGGACACTTCTGGCAACACCCGAGTCAGGGTCCCGGGAATCAGGATTTGGAAGGCCAGGACTTGGCCAGATTCGGCGGGGGCAGGACGAATAATGTATGGACGGTGTTTCGGTTCATTGTTGCAGTTTTTGCTCGGGTGCGCCAATGTCCCGGCTTAACGAACTTCTCGTTTGCGGGTGATCAAGGGCAACGACACGGGGGCGGAGGGGCCCAGAGCATTGCTCTGGATCTTCAGTGGAGGATTTGCATCATGGTGTACGTTCGACGAAAGGCAGTCGCCGATTGTCTGGGGTGCAACGTGCCCCGCGGTTGCGTTTGGTTGGCCCTATGTTGTGGTGCTGTCATGTCGTGCGTTGGACGTTTTTTGGTGGGGAATAAAGGGGGGGTTGGCCGACGGAGCCCAGCCGCCCGAGCGTCAATGCCCGGGATCGCCCGCAGGCGCCCGTTCCTCGCCAGCCGGGGCATCCGCCTCCCCCGCACCGCTAAGACCACGCGCGGCCTCGCTGTCTGGGGTTAGGTCGGGCATGTCCCCTAGCCTAGAGGCGGATTTTTTGACGAAAAACTCAAAAGATACTCCAACAATGATTCAAACCGTATTTTGAAATATGCAAGATCTCGTCCACCGATTTGTTCCCAACCATCCTGTGGTGTTGGGTCCTCGTTTTGAAGAGACCGTCCCCTCGTTCTCCTTCCTCCTCCCCCTCCTCCCTCCTTCCCCTCCTCCTTCCTCCTTGCGTTTCGCCCACCCAGTACAACGCTTCGTGGCCCCATGGGGAGCTCCACCGAAGGCCCCAGTGCCATCGCCCGCATGCGCCCCCACACCCATTTCGACACACCCCTCACACGCTTCGTGGCCCCATAGGGAGCTCCACATCCCCAACACCCAATTTGGCACACCCTCACACGCGTCGTGGCCCCATAGGGAGCTCCACCGAAGGCCCCAGTACCACCGCCCGCATGCGTCCCCCACACCCACGTTGGCACACCCCTCACACGCTTCGTGGCCCCGTATGAAGCTCCGAGGACGGCCCCAGTGCCACCGCCCGCATGCGTCCCCCGCACCCATTTAGGTACACCCCTCGAACTCTTCGTGGCCCCAAAGGGAGCTCCACTGAAGGCCCCAGTGACTGCGCTTGCATGACACCACCGCGCCCATGTTGGCATACCTCTCACACGCTTCGTGGCCCCATGGGGAGCTCCACCGCAGGCCCCAGTTGCTGCGCTCGCACGACACCACCGCGTTCATTTTGCCACACCCCTCACACGTTTCGTCGCCCCATAGGGAGCTCCACCGCAGGCCCCAGCGCCTGCGCTCGCATGACCACCGCGCCCATTTCGGCACACCCCTCACACGTTTCGTGCCCATGGGGAGCTCCACTGAAAGCCACAGTGGCTGCGATCGCATGGCACCACCGCGCCAATTTCGGCACGCATACCCCTCACACGCTTCGTGGCCCCATGGGGAGCTCCACCGAAGGCCCCAGTGGCTGCGCTCGCATGACACCACCGCGCCCAGATTGGCATACCCCTCACACGTCTCGTGCCCCAGATGGAGCTCCACCGAAGACGACACCAACAAATGCATTACTCACAACTGGATATGGCTGGGTCCTTCGCCCAGAGAATTTCATCATTATTATTTTTCCGGATAGTTCTCCTGTAGAGGGACATGTCCGACTTAACGCCAACCGCGGACCAAACTGGCGACGTGCCGCCGATTCCAGGCCAGTGGCCCCCCCTTGAGGCCTCTTTGGCGCTCTTAGGGCCATCTGGATGGCCTCTGGGACCGCCCTGGGCCGTCGGAGAGCCTCGGGTGCACCGATAGTGTGGGACAGCCATAGAGGGGATGCATCGACCCCAATCACCCCCAATCACCCATTGATCGCCGATGGGTGCCCAATAGCCCCAAGCTGCACAGGAAAGTGCGGATTCATTATCGGGGGCCTGTCGCCGATATGTCGGCGATGTATGATGCATCCCCCCCTATGCCAGTCCCACCCTGCCGTTGCCCCTCGGTCCTGGGCCGTCGGAAAGCCGAAGGTGAGCAAACGCCAACATCCTGCAAACAGGCAGCGCATGATGGTGGACGCTTCGGGTGCCGTCCTGAGGGTCCTCTCGGAGGCCTCTGGGGCCTGCCTCGAGGCCTCTTGGGCCGTCTTGGGGCCATCTGGGTGGCCTCCGGGGCCGTCCTGGGCCGTCGGAAAGCCGAATGTGTGCAAACGCCAACATCCTGCAGGCAGACAGCGCAGGATTGTGGGACGCCTTTGGGGCCGGCCATGAGGCCTCTTGGGTCGTCTTGGATGAAGTCGGGCATGGCCCTCTACAGGATGAATTCTTCGAGAGTAGTACACAAGTCGTCTGGTGGCGATTTTTCGAGCTCATTGTACTCTTCTTCATTTTTTCTTGACAGTTGTCTCATGTGTCTTCCTGAATCCGCCTGCAGGAGGACATGCCCGACCTCAGCCTTGGGCGATCTTGAGAACATCCTGGGCCATCTTGGGGGCATTCTGGCCGCCCGACCCTTCTGTCGCTCCACCTCGCCAGGGCGCCGGCGCGGCCGCCGCGGCGGACAAGGCGAGCGCCTGGCCTGACATAGCATGGCGTGGCGACGCCCCAGAGTGGGTGGGCGGGGGCTTCTGCGGCCCAAAAAATCAACGAATCGGCACCGAATGTGTCATCACTTCCGATGCTTTTTTTTCGGGGGGGGGGGGGGGGGGGGGGGGGGGGCAATTTTTTTTTAGAGTTAGGGGCCTACTCGGAGGGACCGAAAACCATGCCGCTGCATGGCGCTGGAAATGATGACGCCAGCGCTGCAGCAGGAGCACGATTCGGAAGTAGCGGAAGCGCGGAAATAAGGTCAGCGTTGCAACGGGAGCACGATTCGGAACGAGCGGTAGCCCCAACATGAGGCCATCGTTTCGGCGAGAGCAGCATTTTGGAAACAAGCCCAAGCGAGAACCCGTTTCCCGGAAATCCTGTGTGTAATAAGCCCGTACGCGGAGGGGGGCCAGATCTTTCCCGGACGTCACCAGGGGAGAGAGGAGAGTGGAGGCTGCGGGGGCGAGGGGACAAGGGGGTGCCGGGAAGGCGGGTTGGGAGGGGGGGCAGGTTGGGGGGGAGGAGGAAAGGACGGGGGAGGGGGCGGGGGAGGGGAGGGTAGGTGACGGGGGAGGGGGAGGGGGAGGGGACGGGGGAGAAGGGGGGAGGAGGGGGAAGGTGAGGAGGCGGCGGAAGCGTAGGCGCAGGCGGAGGCGAATGCGCAGGCGGAGGCGGAGGCGGAAGTGGATGCGTAGCCTGATGATGGTGATGATGATGATGGTGATGATGATGATGATGTTGATGCTGATGATGCTGATGATGATGATGATGCTGATGATGATGATGATGATGATGCTGATGCTGATGCTGATGCTGATGCTGATGCTGACGCTGATGATGACGATGATGCTGATCATGATGAGGAGGAGGAGGAGGATGGTGATGATGATGATTATGCTGATGATGATCATGATTATGATGATGATGATGCTGCTGATGATGATCCTGATGATGATGATGATGATGATGATGATGATGATGCTGATGCTGATGCTGCTGCTGCTGCTGCTGATGCTGCTGCTGCTGCTGCTGATGATGATGATGATGATGATGATGATGATGATGATGATGATTCACAGGAGGAGGAGGAGGAGGAGGAGGAGGAGGAGGAGGAGGAGGAGGAGGAGGACAGGGACGAGAGGGAGAGGGAGGACGTGCGTGTTAGAACATGGCCATGCGACTGGGTGGGGGGCGTAGCCGCACCTGTCGTTCAGGCAGGTGTTAGCGTTACCGCTGTCACGGGGCTCAATTTCATACTTAACAGTGGTACAGTCGTTTTGTTCTGTATTTGAAATACATCATCCTTGAATCGTTCCCGTGCACATCTTCCCCTTGGGAATCTGCAGGAGGCAGAAACGACGCGACGAACCCCGCTCACAGTTTGCCCAACGCAAAAGGAGGGGGCATGATGCAGGAGGAGGAGGAGGAGGAGGAGGAGGAGGAGGAGGAGGAGGTTGGGGGGAGGAGGTTGGGGGGAGGAGGAGGAGGAGGAGGAGGAAGAGGAGGAGGTTGGGGGGAGGAGGAGGAGGAGGAGGAGGAGGAGGAGGAGGAGGAGGAGGAGGAGGAGGTTGGGGGGAGGAGGTTGGGGGGAGGGGCTTGCGGCTCGCCGCTGCGCGCCCAGGGCGCGGGCGAGGCCGTCGCCGCCGAGGCGCCGTCGGGCGAGGCCGGGGCCGCCGCTCTGCCCCCGGGCGGCCACTTCGGCGTCCTGGGCGGTGGGCCGCCGCCCGTCGTCGCGGCGACGATGACGCCGACGGCGACGATCGCTCGAAGGCAACGGCGACGGTCGGTCGCCGAGGCCTCGACGTAGGAGATCGTGGCCTCGGGGGCGCGAACGTGGTGTAATTTACACGGGATCGTTGCCTCGGGGGCGCGAATGTGGTATAATTCATTGGAGATCGTGGCCTCGGAGGCAACGGCGACGGTCGGTCGCCGAGGCCTCGACGACGGCCTCGTCGTCGTGGTGGTGGTGGTCGTGGCCGTCGTCGTCTTCGTCGTCCCCTGCTCGCCATCGCGGTTGTCGTTCTTCACGCAGGGCGACCTCGCCGCGTGTCGGGCCCCCCCGGGGACCTCGCAGATCTGACTGGTCAGGCTCGAGAGATGCCGCAGATTGCTGGGGTCTTGGACTCCGATGGTGATGATTCACGACGTTACGATTGTTTCGCAAAGTCGATTCTGAGGGTCGCGCGATCGTCGTCGTCGTCGTCGTCGGCCATGCTTATGGCGTCGGCGCGGTTTCGTCGCGCGGTCGTCGTCGCCAGCGTCGCTGCTGTCGTAGTCTTTCGCATCCTCCTCCACAGCCTCCTCCTTCGGGGAGAATCCCCCCCTCCCCCCTTTCCTCGCGCTCCTCCTCTCCCTCCTCCCTCCTCCTCCTTCTCCTTCTCCTTCTCCTCCTCCTCCTCCTCCTCCTCCTCCTCCTCCTGGAGAAGATGGAGACGGAGTGGGAGTAGGAGGGGGGAGTGAAGAGGGTGAGTCAGAGCGGGCGGGGGGGGTGGGAGCGGGAAGGAGGAGGGATGAGGCAGGTTGAAGATGAAGGCGGAGGAGGTGGAGCAGGATGTGGAGATCATGTGGAGAAGGGAGCAGGGAGGACGTTCCTTTTGAGCTGGGAAGGTCGGGCCGTAGCCTTTAGTCGGGCCTGTCCCTCTACAAAAAAAATTCAAAAATAGTCAACAATAGTCTGGGAACGATTGTTAACTAGATTCGACCATGTTTCGCAACCCTCCTTGGTTGGGTATTCGTTTTGAATAGAGGGGTGTGGTCGCGTCCTCCTCCCGCCTCCCGCCTCCTCCTGTCTTCTCTTCGCCGACGATGGGGGTTGCGATCTGCGAAATTGTCGCCACTTTCGAGGGCTGCTGGCGGGTCCAGCGGAGTGAGGCACCGCGCAGATCTGAGCGGGACCTCGCCGTGCCTGGGGAGCTGCGATCTGCGAAGCTGTCGCCACTTTCGAGGGCTGCTGGTGGGTCCTGCGGAGTGAGGCGCTGCTTAGATCTGAGCGAGACGTCGCCGTCCCTGGGGGGCTGCGATCTGCGAAATTGTCGCCACTTCCGAGAGCTGCTGGTGGGTCCTGCGGGGTGAGGCACCGCGGAGTTCTTTGGAAAAAGAACCAACACCAAAGCCGAGAGGGTCTGGCACGCCAGGCACCTCTGTGATGAATCGACAGGGGGCGCAGGATCCTAGTGGCCTTCGGCCCATTTCGCCACCATGCCTGGGTTGTGGATGTGAGGCCTTCTGTGTATGTGTCGGGGTGTCGGGGGGAGCCTCTCGGGGGCCTCTTGGAGGCGGTTTGGGCGCCTCTTGGGGGCCTCTTGGGGCCTCGCGGGGTATATTTTGGGCTTCTTGGAGGCCTCTTGGGCGCCTCTTGGGGCCTCTTGTAGGAGATCGTGGCCTCGGGGGCGCGAATATGGCGCGATTTACGAGGGATCGTGGCCTCGGGGGCGCGAACGTGGTGTAATTTACACGGGATCGTTGCCTCGGGGGCGCGAATGTGGTATAATTCATTGGAGATCGTGGCCTCGGAGGCGAATGCGGCGTAATTTAGAAGGGATCGTAGCCTCGGGGCGCGACTGTTGGGTAATTGACAAGGGATCGTGGCCCCAGAGGCGCGAATGTGGTGACTTTATGGGGGATCGTGGCCTCAGGAGGGTGAATCTCGCATATTTTAGAAAAGATAGTGGTTTCGGGAACGCGAATGCAAGGTCATTTACGAGGGATCTTGGCCTCTGGGGCGCGAATACAATGTAATTTACGAGCACTGCGTAGAATCTCATGTGATTTTACGTGTCCCACGGTCCCCCAGCAATTCAGACAATGCGATCGGGGGTCGCTAATCTGGCGGTTTTCGGCTACCCCCCCTCGCGCGGACAGTAACAATATATTAGCAGAAAGCAATATTGTAGCATTGGAAGCTGGACTCGAACTGGCGCAGGGAGCAGCAAATCTAATCCTCGCAGGGGTCCGGCGGTTTGTTTATTTTTCCTTCAAAAAAATCAGCCTGTAGGAGGACATGCCCGACCTAATCCTAGCCTTACGCGAGTGCATGCCGTACTGGAGCAAAGCGGACTCACAATCGCTTGCGTTTCGCGAGTCCCCACGAGCCCATTCCGGAGCCCTGCCCATTAGAGCTGACGGGGAAAGGGAAGAAGAGACACATATAGCGAAACAGAGCGGGCAACCAGGGTGAACAAGAGTGATCTCAGGGAGCAAAGGGGGCCTTGGAAGGCCTCTTCGGGCCATCCCCAGGGCCCAGAGCTCTTTGGGGGCATCTTGGGGCCCTCTTGGGGCTCTTTGGGGGGGTCTTGGGGTCCTCTTTGGGCTCTTTTGGGGCGCCTTTCGAGCCCTCATGGAGCCCTCATGGGGCCCTCATGGAGCCCTCATGGGACTCTCTTGGAGCTCTCTTGGGGCCCTGCTGGGAGCTATGGATCGCCTGCTGCAGGCTTGGGGGCCTCTTGGAGCTCTCTTGGGCCATCTTAGGGCCATCTTGATGCCTCGGACATGCGTCGGAAGCGTCAAGGCGACAAGGCACAAATCAGTGATTTTATTTCCCGCATGTTTAGTGGGGTTTTGGTTTTCCTCTCTGCCGAGTCCAGCCCGCGTCTCCCTCACACACCTCCCTCCCTCCTCTCCTCTCCTCCTCTTCCTTTTCCTCTCCTCGCCCACGCGCAACACATGGACGGCGCGCACATGAGACACGCGTCTGCATACAGCCTCACGCATGCACACATTCGTCGTACACACCATACAACGCCACCGTGGCATATATTTCCAACGCCAAAGAAGGTGCGCAGGGGTGGTCTCTGAGCACGGCCGCTACCCGTGGCGGTCGTGCAGGGCATAGCAGGCGTGGCTTTTTCTCGACACCATAGGGGGTGCGCAGGGGGTGGTCTCTGAGCGCGGCCGCTACGCACGCCGGTCGTGCAGGGCATAGCAAGCGTGGCATTTTATCGACACCACAGGGTGCGCAGGGGGTGGTCTCTGAGCACGGCCGCTATGAACGCCAGTCGTGAAGGGCATAACAGGCGTGGCACTTTCTCGACACCACAGGGGGTGCGTAAGGGGGGATCTCTGAGCGCGGCCGCTATGCACGCATGTCGCGAAGGGCATAACAGGCGTTGTACTTTCTTGGCACCATAGGGGGTGCGCAGGGGGTGGTCTCTGAGAGCGGACGCTATGCACACCGGTCGTGCAGGGCAAAGCAGGCGTCGAATTTTCTCAACACCACAGGGGGTGCGGTCTCTGAGCGCGGCCGCTATGAACGCCAGTCGCGAAGGGCATAACAGGCGTTGTACTTCCTCGACACCGCAGGGGGTGCGCAAGGGGGGTAGTCTCTGAGCGCGGCCGCTACGCACGTCGGTCGTGCAGGGCATAGTTGGCGTGTCACTTACTCATTTCCATAGGGGGTGCGCAGGGGGTGGTCTCTGAGCGCGGCCGCTATGCACGCCAGTCCTGCAAAGCATAGCAGGCGTGGCACTTTCTCGACACCGCAGGGGGTGCGCAAGGGGGGGTCTCTGAGCGCTGCCGCTATGCACGCGGGTCGTGAAGGGCAAAGCAGGCGTGGCACCTTCTTGACACCATAGGGGGTGCGCAGGGGGTGGTGCCTGAGAGCGGCCGCTATGCACGCTGGTCGCGCAGGGCATAGCAGGCGTGGCACATACTGGACACCTTGGGGGTGCGCAAGGGGGTGGTCTTTGAGCGCGGCCGCTATGCGCGCCGGTCGTGCAGGGCATCGCAGGCGTGGCACTGTCTGGAGGTTTGCGCAGGGGGCGTTCTCTGAGCGTGGCCGCTATCCGTGTAACTGTCGCCCAGGGCATTGCAGGCGTGGCACTTTCTCGAGATTGTCGGAGTTGCGCAAGGGGTGGTCTCTCAGCGCGGCCGCTATGCGCCCCATTTTTCCAGGGCATAGCAGGTGTGGCGCCATCATTTTCCATCATCATGCGCATCATCATCATCATCATCATCATCATCATCATCATCATCATCAACATCATCATCATCATCATCATCATCATCATCATCATCATCATCATCATCATCATCATCTGCATTATCATCTGCATTATCAGCATCAAGAACCGTAGCCGCCGTGGCTCATGCTGGCTCAGACTGCTGGACATGTGGACGCGAGCGACCGCCGGTGACTCTCCGTCGAAGGTACTGTCCCCGTCATGGCGCCCAAACGCGCCATGTCCGCGCTGCCACCCCCGCGCGAGCAGCTCAAGCAAGGATTGCTAGAAATGGGCGCCGAGGTGAACCTGGATGGTTTGCGCGAATATGTCGTCTGGCTTGGGAACGTCTTGTTACAGTGCGCGTTGCATGCTTACCACCACCGAAAGTTGATGAAATGGTGGCCTGGGACGCTCTTCGCCAGATTCGAAGAGCTGCCGCGTAAACGTGGCGGTGACGATGCAAGGAGACAGCGTTTGGTGAGGTACTTAATGGATTTTTTTCGGTGAAGGCGTCACCAACGGTATTTGCGGGGGAGCGGCCACCAGCATCATTCCCGCATGTTCTTTTCTTCAGCTATCATCATCACACACATATATATATATATATGGTATGTGGGTATCCTCAGTGACGTAACTTAGGTTTTGGGGTCGCCAAAAGCACCCAGAACCGTCTGGCCTTCTCGGGGCTTCTTGGACGCGTGTCGTTCGCGATATTGAGCCATGTTGTGTTATCTTGAGCGATCCCGAAGGATATCTCGGGCTTTCTGAGGCCCTCTTAGAGCCATCCTGGGCGGAACAGGACCCTCTGACACCGCGCGAACCCCCCGATCAGGTCAAGGGGAGGGGGTGGGGGGATCGGTTCAAGCTAACCACCCGTCCGCGAGCCGTCTAGCTCATTCCCGCCCGCCCTCCCGACACAGAAGTAACACCCGAGCTTGAGCACGTTCAGCTGTCGTCGTTGGATGGACAGCTATCAGGATCCAAAGCCGACCCCTGTGCCACGCGTGCCAGGGGCGCCGCGCGCGCCGGGCACCCCCGTCACGTGCGCCAGATGCGCCGCGTGCTCCGAGTGTGCCACGTGCGCCGCGCCGGGTGCGCCACGCTCGGGGCAGGTGCTGGGTGCGTCAGGTTTGCCTGCGCACGTGACAGCGCACATCGGGAAACATATCGGCCCCCGCCATCCGTGCCGAAAACCGATGCCCATGTGTCTGGTGGGCCTGCACAGCAGGCCACGCGCCACCACCCCCGCCGCCAATGTCAAAAACCAATTGACAGTGATCGCGGGGTGGCCACGCACGATCCAGATTTAGTCGCGAGGTGTTTTTTTGTATTGGCGTTCGTTGTCAAGGATGGTACGTTGAGCGCAGCAGGGAATAATATGATATCCCTGGCGCCCCTGTCAAAAAAACAACACAAAGTGCCCGCAGCCCTGACGACACATGATTCAAGACTTTACCCAAAACTGTATTTTGTTTCTGTCTGTTGACATGGATGGTGGGTGGGGGCACATCGGGTTGGCCGCGTATGCTCCAAACGTGGAGGCAAAGTTCGCTTTGTTCTGTTTTTTTGACAGGGATTTGGGGGGGGGGCGGCCTTCTCGACGTTGGCATCGTTCCGGGTTGGCCGCCGGCCTGGTAGGGGAGGGGGTGTACATCAGTACGGAACAGTGATAGACCCCTCCCCGAAGCTGAAGCAGGGGGTTTTGGAATAGGAAAGAAGGACATCGTCAGACCACCCGTGCCCAGAGGGCAGGTGGGATTACGGAGGGAGGCGCAGCGGAGGAGAAGGGGGGAAGGGGGGATAAAAAGGGGGGGGGCAAGAGGGGGAATCAGGAGGGAAAGAAACACACAGACACAATTAATTCTCGATTCCCCAGAAAATATGGGAAAATATGGGAAGTGGGGGGGAAGACAGAAAACCAGAAAATATATGAAAATATGGGGAATCTTTTTATTTGTGTGTATTTATTTGTGTGTCCTGGGGCCCCTTCAGGGAAGGGGCAAACCGTCGACCAAGTCTCGGCGGCAGCCGGGTTTTGCAGGACGAGGGGGAGGAGGGGACGGAAGACGTGGAGGAAGAAAGGGACCACCCATGTTCGTGACGTTGAGGTGTTTGCGAGTGCCGGCAGGGCGTTTTTTTGGTGAATTCGATATGTCGTTTGTATATGTGTATTTCCAGACCTGATGGTTTGAAATTCAACCGCGTCCAACTGTGACTTGGCTTGAGGGATCCTGTTTCTCATCCGTTGGATTATATTTTGACGTATCCTTGGGTGTTATGGCTGTGCAAGCCGTTCAGAGAAAGTACCTACCCGCGCGTGTTATTATTTGAGCGTCTTCCTGTTCCATTTCCATGGTCGCCCCAGCGAGGACCCCAAACAGTGGTTTCACGCTGGTTGCAATATTTGGTTGCAATCTTAGTACGGTACGACTCACGTGCCGCAAAAGGTGCTGCCTGTGTGGTGCAAGATTTGCGTGGGGGGCAAGCTATGGATGCGAGCTATGGTGCAGGCTACGTGGTGCAGTTTGGGAAGTGCAGCCTGCGGAGCACTAGCTGTGTGGGGTGCAGATACGTAGGCGTTGCAATGTGTTTATTGCTTCTTTTTTTTTTTTCTCTCTCTCTCTCTCTCTATCTATCTTTCCCTCTTTCTCTCTCTTTCTCTTTATCTCTCTATTTGTTTGCTCTCTCTCTCTCTCTTTCTCTCTAGAGGGCAAAAGCGCCGCCTCGGACGCGGTGGGTTCGCCCTGGGGTCTGCCGCGGTGCTGGCTGCGTCTGCTGGGATGCGGGGCGCCGGGTTTGCCGTGGTTCGCAGGCGATGTTTCTCCCCCAACCCGCGTCGATTCGACGAAACATGAAGCCATTCACTACAGTATGGGGGACCCTGGGAGACACCCCCAAGGGGGCTATTCGGACGCACCTCTATCGAGGATGAACCAACCCCCATCGTATATCCCAGGGGTGGGCCCCCCATTTCTGGTCCACTCGAAAACCTCCCAAAGCTTGGGATAGGGGTCGACATATCCCCTGTTAGTGGTGTCGGCATCGTCCACTTTGGACGCGTCGAGGACACGGCGCGGCGACGTATACATGATGCACCAAAGGCGCGACGCCGACGGCGACGCGGCGTCTCCTCGCCAATTCCGTCTCGGGAGCGCAGACGACGGCCCCTGAAGCCCCGAGAACAGTCCTGGAGCCCCCCCCCCAATTCTCTCCAGGTCACCCCGGCGGGACCAAGAGTCGCGAAAACTTCCGGGCACGAACTCAAGTATCGTTCCCACCACCTCAGCGCGTTTCGCAAGCGCGACGCGAGAACAGAGCTGCCATGCCTGCCGTGCCAGAACATTGGGGCGAGAAACACCCTAGCTCCTCGCCCAAAGACGCTACTGGACCCCCAGCTCAGACGCCAAAGAGGACCCAAAGCCGCCAACGTCGCTGGCACTAAGCCGGGCGCGTCCCAATACAGGAGGAACATTCAGAAATAGCAAAAAAGTAGTTTGGGGACGATTTCTTTTAGTGTGTTGTGTCCACTTTGGGGCATTTTTTGGTCCTCCTCCTATTTTTCGCCCAAGATCCTCCTGTGGGGGGACAGGTCGGACTTCACGTTGGGGTATCGTTTGGTCCTCTTTTATTCTTCGTCCAGGATCCTCCTGTGGGGGGACAGGTCGGACTTCACGTTGGGGTATCGTTTGATCCTCTTTTATTCTTCGTCCAAGATCCTCCTGTGGGGGGACAGGTCGGACTCCACGTTGGGGTAGTGTTTGACCCTCTTTTATTCTTCGTCCAAGATCCTCCTGTGGGGGGACGGGTCGGACTTCACTTTGGGGTATTGTTTGATCATCTCTTATTTTTCGTCCAGGATCCTCCTGTGGGGGGACGGGTCGGACTCCACGTTGGGGTATCGTTTGATCCTCTTTTATGTTTCGTCCAAGATCCTCCCGTGGGGGGGCAGGTCGGACTTCACGTTGGGGTATCGTTTGATCCTCTTTTGTGTTTCGTCCAAGTGCCTCCTGTGGGGGGACGGGCCCGACGGAACGCCGGCAGCGCCCGGGGCCGGCGCCGCTGCCGCCGCTCTGCCGTCGGTCTCGGCCCCGCGCTGCGGCCGCCGGCGTGGTCTGCGTCGGTCCGGGCCGGCGTCTCTCTTCGCTGGGCAGGAAGGGGGACAACACACACAAGCCATCGTCGGCTCCGAGTCGACTCCGAGGCAGGAGGGGGAAAAACACACACACACAACGCCTCGTCGACTCCCAGGAAAGGTATGGGAGACTATGGGAAGTGGGGGGGAACACACAACACGCACACACACACTCAAGCAGTGGCGAAGCGTCCTGGCCCGCCGTCGTCGGCTCCGAGTCGACTCCGAGGCAGGAGGTAAAACGACGCGAAGATCGGGACAAAATCGGATCGGGATAGCTCGAAATCTCTGAGAATTGGCAGTTTGGAGGATGTATTGGGCGCCGCGGCCGCTCCAGAGCGTTCCGGAACGCTCTGAGAGCGCTCCGGAACGCTCTGGAGCGATTTATCCCGATCCTAGCCCTGTTTTAGGAGGGGGAAAAACATACAATTCCTCGTCGATTCCCACGAAAAGTATGGGAGACTATGGGAAGTGGGGGGAACACACAACAAACACACACACACACACACGCACGCTCAAGCAGTGGCGAAGCGTCCTGGCCCGCCGCAACACAACACAACACACAACAACACAACACACACACAACACACACACACAACACACTATAGTCACACTATAGTCCTACCAGACAATGTTCAAAGAACCGTCTGTGGTTTCCACGAGATGCTCTCAGAACGTTTCTGGCGGAGGCTGTCTTGTTTTATCACATCGGCTTCATGTTTTCAGAACATGGTTCACGTTCTGAGAACACTGTGGGGTTCTGAAAAGGATTTCGTGGTAGGGCTGTAGGACTGCCGGGACGATCGTTCCCTGCTCAAACACAAACAGTTCATCGTCGACTCCCATGAAAAGTATGGGAGAAGATGGGAAGTGGGGGGGAGACGGAACAGAAACAGAAGATGCTGGAGAAAATATGGGGACGCCTGTTTTTTGCGCCTGTTGATTTGCGTGTCCCAGGGCCCCTTCAGGGCCGTCCTCTCGTCGCCGTCGGCGTCGTCGCCCTGCGCGCCGTCGGCGCTGCCCTCGGCGGCGGCGACCGCGGCCGCCCCCCCGCGGAGGCCGCCGCGGCCGAGAGCGCCGTGGTGCCCGCGTCCAGGGGCGGCCACGGCGGCGGGCTCATGCGCGAGGGCGGCCCGCTGCTGGAGCTCGTGGGCGCGCGAAGCAGAGCGGTGGGAGTCGAAGAGGGGGTCCTGAGGCAGGGCTGGACCCAAACGGTATTCGTGGTGATTTCGTGGGCCGTTTTCGTGTCGACATCGTTTTGCGGTAAAGGCGGATCCGAGACAAAGGCAAGGGAAAACGGAAGCAAAACGAAAACGAAGAACACCGTGCTTCCACCCACCAAACCACCCCAACCCAACTCGAAGGCCTCAATTTGCCCTCCCCTTCCAGTGGTGGGGGGGGGGGGTCGGGGAACAGCGAAAAAACACCTACGGAGCCCATACCCTCCCCCCAACCCGAAATTCGGGCCTTCGGGTTGGGTTGGGGTGGTCTGGTAGGTAGTCAGAGCGGTGGGATTCGAAGAGAGGGTCCTAGGGGATGGGGGCCTAAGGATAGGAAGGGATACAGGGGTGGATGTGCTAGGTGAACGACACATGGCATAAGCATCAAGACCCGGAGGTCCGCGCGGAGTTCTCGGATTCGCGCTAGACCTCCTTGGCGGCGCCTCTGGCTCCGCCCCTCCGGCGCGCTCCGCGCGCCAGGGAGGGGGGTCCAGCGCCGATCCGAGAAATCCGCGCGGACCTCAGAGTATTTACGTTTATGCCATTTGTCGTCTCTATTTACGTTGTTTGAGGCGCCTTGTGCTTCGGACTCCATCCCTCCGGATCGCATCTGTGAGCCACCGAGCAGACCCCTCTCCGCCGACTCGCGTGCGGGGCCCCTGGGCCGCGATCCCGCGGTCGATGATCCTTACGACGCGTGTTGGCCCAAGCGTGTGTGTGTGTGTGTGTGTGTGTGTGTGTGTGTGTGTGTGTGTGTGTGTGTGTGTGTGTGTGTGTGTGTGTGTTACCCCGCTCGGTTCCGCGGGTAGCTCGTAGCGTTTGTCAGCCCTCGTTGCGCCGCCTACGTCGCATTGAAGGGCTTTGGTGGACAAGCACACGTTGGCGCTAGCGCACGTTCTGATGATCGTCGACACTGATCCGTGTGACCGCGAATCCGGGATCGCGCTCCAGGTTCCAGACCGCGAGGGCGCGGATACGGATATGTTCGCCGCTGATGAGGAGCCGCGCTACCTGGGCCTGCCGCTGCCGCGGCGGCCGCTGTTCCCAGGCGCCGCAGGGGAACACAGCGCCGCTCGGGGGGGCGCCCAACGAGGGGCTTTTTGGTCTAGGGAGTTTCATTTGTTTTTCTGCAATGTTCGGGCCCTGGACGGTTCCCATCAGCTGCTCCCCGTCACGGGAGTTCAGGGATGCCAGAATCGTCCTGAATGGTTGCCTGATGCCCGATTTGCCCGAAAGCAGCTGGAGAAGGGCCAGTCGAGACTACGGCGGCCATCCCTGGCGTTCTTCGTCGTTTTTGCTGGGGGCCTCCTGGAGGCTTGTCGTAGCCTCAGCAGGACCCGCATCGCACCGTCAGGCCAACCCGACCCGAGTCCCCCGTACCCGAGTCTTACGTCTGCCCGACTAGAATATCATGGCCAGGGCCATGGAATCTCCCAGATTCCACGACCCCCTCGCATTAATGCCGTGCGTTCCTTTCCCGCCCCCTCGACCGCGCACGTATACCTCGGGCCATGGTGCCCTCGAATCCCCCGTTACCTGGTACTTCCGCGCACGTGCCTGGTGCCATGATGCCATGACGCAGTAACCCTTTTTCTTTCTTGGGGCAGGGGCCTTGGTTGGTCCTCTCTCATTCTCTCGTCTTCTCTCTTTTCCTCTCTCTTTCTCCCTGTCTCTGGCTCTCTCTCTCGGTCTCTCTCTTCTGTGTATGTTTATGCTGCGTTGTTTCTCCCTGTCGCTCTCTCTCCCTCTATATCCATATCTATCCGACCTGTTTTGCTCACTTGCTCTCCATCTCTGTCGCTCTCTCTCTCTCTCTCTCTCTCTCTCTCTCTCTCTCCCCCATCTATCGCTATCTCTATGGATGTATGTTGTTTGTTCTCTCTCTCTCTCTCTCTGATGTTCTTCTTAGTTGTGCATGCAAACAAATTCACTTGTACGTGTATGGCCTTGCCGTTCCTCTCGTCGTTGCCGTGGGGAGAAAAAGAAGGGATCGCGGGTCACCCATCCAACGTTTTGGAGCTGCTTCTGCCCCGCCTCGTCCTGAAGGGTTGCCCCGCCCCCGCCCGCTCTCGCCCCCGTTCGGAGGGTCCCCCATGAGGTCCCGGCGGGGGTCCCGCGGCGGCCCGCGAGCCCAGGATGAAGTCGGGCCTGTCCCGTCTACAGGGGGGATGTTCAAGAATAGTCAAAAATAGGCGGGGGCCGATTTTTGAGGAACATGTGTTGGGCATTGTGGGGCATTGTTGGACCATCTGACCATCTGTTAGTTTTCGTCCGAAATCTCCCTGTAGGGGGACACGCCCGACTTAGCCCAGGAGGCCCCCGGGAGGCATCCCGAAGACGCCTCGTGGCATGGACCGCCCTCTGTTGGCCGCGACAACGGTGGCGCCATGGCGCCCTGCGGCCTGGGCCGCAGGGCAGTGGCCACCTGCGGGGGCCGCGTGCGCGTGCTCGCGAAGGGAGAAAGCCGCTTGCTGCGGGGACGTGGCGTGCGAAGCTGGGCGACCTTCGGTAGCGCCCTGCCCCGTCCACCCCCTCCTCATCCTCCTGTTCTCCTCCCCCTCCTCCTCCGCCTCCTCCTCCTCCTCCTCCGCCTCCTCCTCCTCCTCCTCCTCCTCCTCCTCCTCCTCCTCCTCTAGGTGACGCCCTGGGCGACCATGGCGGCGTCCGGGTGGTCCCAGGTGACGTCCCGGGCGCCCTGATTGACGCCTTGGATGTCCTATAGGTGGCCCAGGTGGCGTCCTGTGTCGCATGGTCAGGGGACCCTCGGCGACCTAAGCGACGTCCTGCCGAAGGTCGGTCAGGAACGTTTGCGTGACGTGTCGCGCCGCCAGTGCTGGCCTACCACCTTCGTCGAGACACGCTAAGCGCGTCCCAGTGCCCAAGCTTCAATGTTCCGAGCTTTTCCCGGCCTCCCCTCTCAAGACGCAAAGGGACGCGCGATGAGCTTGCGCATCGTTAGCGTGCCGCTGGGGTCACCCGCCGCGACACGCTGAGCAAGCGCTGCTGACCGTATGTGACGTCCTGCCGATGGTAGGTGACCTGCGTAACGTCCTAGGAAGACCCAAGAGCTGCCCTGCCCGCTCTGCCCTCTACGTTTCGGGCGAAAGAAAGAAAACCCACCAGCGCTGGTGGCGCCACCTCCATCAATGAGGTACTCGATGCCGGCCCCTCCAGCTGGGGATCTGATGCGTCTTGAGCGTGAGCAGCGTGAGGGGGGGGGCTCACCAGCAGCAGGACCCCCCTGGCTCTTCGCGCTGGTGATGGTGCCGTCCTACCTTGTTCCTGTGGCAGTGGTGCTGCTGGAGGCGGTGGCGGTTGTGGGCTTCATGTCTGAGGTCTCCAGCGGCCGCTCGGGACGACCTGGGCACCCCCAGAGCAACCTCGCGGGTAGTCGCAGCTGCCGGACGGTGCCCCGAGGCCGGGAAGCCGCCGAGAGCCGACGACAAGGTCCGATCGCCTCCTTGAGCCTCGATTCCGAGAGAGTCTTCACGAAATCGTCACCTGCGATTTTGTGCAGAGCCCCGAAGGGGTGCGTTCGAACCGGGCATGCGAGGCGAACCCAGCCGTGGCGACGAAGGGAGGGTGGCGGTGTCGGTAATCATCTGTTCCTCAGGCGTGGCCTTGGCCGCCCCAGGCTGGAAAAAGCCCCCGGGGCGTGGAACATCTGGAAGCCGCCAGGCGCTGACGTGAAGTCGGGCGTGTCCCTCTACAGGAGGAAGATTCAAAAATAGCCAAACACATAGTCCGGGGACCATTTCTGAATCATGTCTTACTATTGTTGCGCACTCTTTGGCTATGTTTCATTTCTCGTCCAGAATCCGCCTGTATGGGGGACACGCCCGAGCTAACACCAACCAAAATGTCCGAACAGCTGCCCGTGACTCCCCTTCCAGGGACCAGGGCTGGACCTAAACTGTGTTTTTGGTGATTTCGTGGGCCGTTTTCGTTTCGACTTCGTTTTGCGGTTCAGGCGGTACACCTTAGGCGATGCTTAAGAAAACTTAAATGTTCGGCCGGAGTCTCGATTATTCTTAATGTTTCAATGTAAATCCCAAGATTTGAATAGAACTTTTGGGTTTTTATTCAAGTTCTGAGACTATGAATTTCTTAACCCATGATTTCTTAAGCATTTCGCAGGGTGTATGCGGTACGAAAGACACCGTTTAGGTTCAGCCCTGCCGGGGACCGGGTCTTCCTCCCCGGCAGGTCTTGCTGGGCGCCCCGGGGCCCAGCGGGGGGCCCCGGACGGCGACCACGGGGACGCAACAAGCCTCCCGCCGCGACCTTGTCGCCGTGGGCCGAAGACAACGCCAGAGAACCTCGAGCGCCAGTCCTCCTCGTCCTCGTCCTCGTCCTCGTCCTCGTCCTCCTCGTCCTCGTCGTCGTCGTCGTCGTCGTTGTCACTGCTGTCTTCGTCGTCGTCGTCGTCGTCGTCGTCGTCGTCGTCGTCGTCGTCGTCGTCCCCTCGAGCCTTGCTTCTGCACGGTCCGCTCCTGGCTCGAGCAGCCGCCCGCGCCCGCGCCCGCGGCCGCGGCCGCGCCTGGCCGGGCCCCGGCGGTTGCCGAGGCGGGGGCCGCCGTCGGCGCCGCGGCGTCGCGCCCGCATCGCCCAGGGCCGGAGTCCCATACTCGGAGGAGGGCCAGTCGAGACAACGGCGGGGCCCCCATCGAAGAAGAAGAAAAAGTGGCGAAGCAGCATGTCTCGACGAAGAGAAGGCGGCATGCGCATCGACTTCGGGCGCTCCGCACGGACTTCTCGGATTCGCGCTGGACCACCCTGGCGGCGCCCTCCGGCGCCGCCCCTGGCGCGCCCCTGGCGCTCCAGCACAGATCCAAGAACTCTGGGCGGATCGTCGAAATTTGATGCTTATGTGGTCTACATGTTTCTAGTGTCGGAGTTCCGCGCGGACTCCGGGAAAGTATGTTCAGTCCGATGTTTTACTCCTGCAGAGATCGGCGGGGTGCCCAGTTTTTCTGCAAGGGTCGCGGGACATGGTATGGCACGACTCCAGGGCTGGACCTAAGCGCTGTCTTGCTGGACTTCGGCCGTGTTTTGTTTTTTCGTCTTGACAGGGGGGTAACTACAGGAAAACAGGGAGAGAAAAACGAAGAACAGAACGACATCTAAACGAACACACAACGTTTAGGTCCAGCCCTGGGCACGACCCAGCAGGCGCGCTCGCCAATGCCCGCAGCGGCGCCCTCAGAGCTTTTCCATGGAGGCCTTCGCGGCAGAGGTCGTTCTCCTCTCGGCGGCCTCCGTCCGCCTCACCCAAGCGATTTTCGCGCTTGTGTCCTTCGTCTCAGTCGCCAAACAAGCGGGTCAGGATGGACCCCTGGAATGAAGGGAATGAGCAAGGGCATAAACATAACACCTCGGAGGTCCGCGCGGATTTCTCGGATCCGCGCCGGACCACCTTGGCGGCGCCTCAGGCGCCGCCCCTGACGCTCTCCGCGCGCCAGGGAGGCGTTTCCAGAGCCGATGCGAGAAATCCGCGCGGACCTCCGCGTTTTTATATCATGTCATCCTTCGTTCCCCCAGGGATGGGGGTCTGGGGACCGGTTCTGAGCAAAAGGGGGCTGGGCGGGAGGGCCGCTGTTGTCTCAATCGGCCCTCCTCTGACACACTCGCCCGCTGCCTCTCGGGCTGTCGGACGCGGGGGGGCCCGCACGCGAGCCCCGCATGGAGGTAAAGAAATTGGTGGGCTGCCCCCTGCCCATGGACATCCTGGACTTCGACGACGGAGACGAGGAGTCGGTGCCGTTCAAACGCACGCATACGTTGCATGTGTCGGTCCCGCAGCCACGACGCGCGCGCGATGAGAGATCTTGGAGCGTAGAGTTTTGGTCGGGCACGTTCTGGCCATGCCGACTGGGTGGCGACAGCTTTGCTTCAACATGTCGGTGCTGCACGTTGAGGTTCAAACGCGCGTGTCCCACAAAAGCACATCGCACGGCGGAAGCACTGGTTGAGGAATGCGCCCAGGAGGCCTGGAGGATCCGTCAGCTGACCACGGCGGCGGTGATGCCCATGGTCAGCCCACGATGG